AGTCCTTCCAAACTTTATTCATTCTATTCTTAGCACCACAAAAATTCATACCTGGGGAATGCGGATGATTATGGAGAACACAGTAATGATAACAGTGTCTACACTGTCACCTAGAATGATGAATAAAACTAAAACTAAGAATAATGATACTAAAAGTGGCAACTTCTTTCTGGAGAAGAGCTCAGACTCTGAAGCTAGAGTAACTGGGTTCAAACCCTGCTCTGCCCATCTTCTCTTTGTGACCTTGAGCCATGACTAACATCGTGGTCCTCAGTCTCACTTCTCTGTATAGTGATGACAATAATCGTGCCCACCTCATGGAGGCACGTGAGGAATCGGTGCACTAATCAACGCATCACAGAGGAATCAGTGCGACGCTTGGAACAGAGCCCGATGCAGAGTGAGAGCTGCGTTAGGATTTATTAAACGAACAAAACACAGAAAAGTCTGACACATACGGTGTACCTTTCCATATGCAAACCTGGGCTCTATGGCAGGTTGGGGAACCCACTGGAGCTCCAAGATCTATGGTGACTTGCCTTAGGGTCACCCAGCTCATGTGTGACAAGAGCAGAATCGGAACCCTGCTTCATTTTACTCCAAGCCCATGGTCCTCCTTCACAGCCTGGACCTGCTTCCATGACAACTTTAAGCCTGAATAAGCAGGAAGACAACCAGAGGCACAAATAGTCTCTTTTATCCTCCATGTTCTTCAGGAGTACAAGTGAAGATTTAAAAAAAAACAAAAACTACTTGATATGCAAAGTAAGGGAAATAAACCGGCTTCCTCCTGCCAACAGGGCTATAGAGTGTGAGTAAGTAGATCATCCTAGCAAACAAATATTAAATTTTTACAAGCTGATCCACCTTTCTGCCCAGGAGGTAAACACTTAGTTACTAAATAAATATTTCTTTTCTCTGCTTCCTAAGAGCTTGGTTTCCTTGGAGAGAAGCAATATTGCCCAGTTTATTTGCAAATGAGATTGGAGTTATAGACATTCCCCAAACTTTTCTCTGAATATCCTACCATCTAGGTAACACAGGCATGCATTGTACTATTTTCTACTAGGGTAATAAATAAACTTTTATCACATATACTTTATATATATCTTTGTCATCCATCATTTTTATTCCCCGTAAACGCTGCAGAATAACACAAAAATATTCCTTGAAAAATAAAACAAGATCACCTTTATTTCTACCACCCAAACACAATATACAAAAGTTCTATTTTTTTATGTATTCTTTGCTAGTCTTTCATCCCCTGAGTTTTGACCTTGTATGTTTACATATGACATACATATACTGAAATACAAATTACACATTCCATTTTAATATTTTCACATATTTTATATCATGAGCATTGCTCCATGTTATGACATACTTTCTAAAACCAACTGAGTCCATGGCTTACTATAAGAGGATGTCTAATCATTTATTCTTATTGTAAATATTATCCAATTTTATAATTATAAGCAGTATTTCCTAAAAGGTATTTCTATAGTTAGAGTCATCTCTTTAAGATAGCATCCCTAAAGTAGTCACACAGGGTCAAGGTCTTTGGCACATCCTATGAAATTTCTTTCTAACACATTATAGCAATTTTCAGCGCTGGCATCAGTGTATAAGAATGCCTATAACACTCTTACTATCTTTTGAAGTATACCACACTCATTGTTGCCAAGCATATGGCAGACATGAAATTGATTTGATGTCACAAAGGAAGCCTTACATAAAAATTTGCTAAAAATTTTGTCTGGAAAATAACTGTAATTACTGTAATTAACAATGAAATCTGAAAGAAGCATCCTACACCACTATTATTATATTATTATTAACATTAGAAAGATACTTCATTTGTCAAAGTATTTTCTAATCATGTATTAATATTACTTAATCCCTCTGATGTCCCTGGGAGGCTTTGAAGCTATTTATAGCTGGACTTTCTGAGCTGAAAGTCTTTCAAAAGTCCTTTTGTCTTGATATCTCAACTCGTTACCACCAGTGTATCAATTCACAGAATCATTCCCATTTGCATAATTTCAAGGATGGGAGGGAGTTTAGTGGTCTTTGGTCCAAGATGATCAAGCGGTCATTGACATGGGAAGCAGAATTTATATTACAGATGTTAAGACTTTGCTTTCGTCTCAAATCCCCATGGCTCTGTAAAAGTATGGCATGTCATCAGCAGCTGATAATAGTGCTATTGCTATTTTTAAATTTAACATCTTTGTGCTGCACCACAGTTACTGTAGGAGTAAAAGTTTATACTCAATAGGATTCTTACAATTTCAACAACTATTAGCTTATTTGATTTGTAGCTAAAGCAACAGGAATAAAATTTATACCTAACACCACCAGAAACTTTTATGACCTCAAAATTCGCTATAATTGAAAAATAGCATAATTGAATATCTATAATCATGCAATTACTCTTTTCTGAAAAGAGGGCTTTTTGTTTCTATCAGGGAGGGACCTGAGTTCTTTGATGGAGACAAGGAGCACATATACAAAAGGCTGAGAACCACTCATCTAATTCAATGCTTGGCCTGCAAGATGCCTGGTTTCAAGATGCAGACGAAGGCTGCAGAGCCAAATGGAGTCTTCAGCACCACACAAAAGCTGTGGCAGTGTGGAAGAGGTCTCTCACTGCAAGTCAGAAGACAATGGGCTGAGCCCCTAGCAGCCAGTCTTTATGTGGCATTTCCATTTCCTCCTCCAACGTATAACTGACATCACAATTGCAACTGGACAGAGCCACAAGGAAGAACGGACACTCCCAGCGCTAGCTGGTACTGGGATACACTCAGCTGCTGCTCTCTTCTCCCGTGGCCCCTTCCCCACTCCAGGAGGGCAGGGGGTCTGTGCGTGGCTCACCTGCCAGCTCACTGTAGGCACATAGGGGCCAGCAAAAGGACCACGCAGGTAAGTTCAGTAGAAACAAACAAGCTAAATAATAACTTCTTTATTTATTATTAAATGATAATTAAACAAACTAATAAATAAATTGCTGTTTTACACCAAATAAGTTTTAGGGTGAACTGATTCACAGCAAAAGCTAACTAAAATAGGAACTCATGTCTAAAGAGTCAAAATGACCTTCTGAAAATCACTCAGCTATATTATGGCATAGATGAAACTGAACTAAGTCTGGGTTAGATATATTAGTTAACTGATGGAATAAATATCTTCAGGTTCTTTGTTGATGGACTCCCCTAGACTGACTTGTTAAACATACAAACATTTATTGAGTATATGATACATGACAGGTACTTTGCCAAGATATTAGGGATATAGAAAAATACAGCATGGGTTCCATCCCAGAAGGCCTACATTCTACTACAGAAGACATTATCATGAATAGATAAGTTAAATATAAGGCACTAAATCTAACCATAGAAAGATGCACAGGGTATTGTAGGCTGTGGACGAGAAGCCCCAGCCCAGACTGAAGGTTACAGGTGGGCTCCTGTTAGAAATGCAGCCTATGCAAACTCTTAAAGGAAACAAAGGAATTTGCCAGTTTGGGGTGGGAAGAAGGTAGAAAGGAGGAGGAAATGGGCAGATAGAGCAGCATGATGAGACGTCACAGGCAGGACACACTGTGGAGAGGGTTGGGCGCCACAAGCAGGTCAGAGCTGCTGGAGCGTGAAGTCCGAGCAAAGAAAGGAGAGAGAAGTCCTATGAACAATGACCTTGTGGTCTGTGGCCCACGGTAACACTTTGGCAAGGAGAAGCATGGAAAGGTTTTAAGAAATGAGATCTGCCTGTCTGAAATGTCATTCTTGAATTAGAAAGAAGGGATCACAATGAGTAAGAGGTACAATGTTTGTGGGATGGACACGCTAGAAGCTCTGATTCAAGGGGGAGGGGGGCATGGGCATTACATGTAACCTTAACACTTGTACCCCCATAATACGCTAAAATAAAAAAAAGAAAGAAAGATAAATGAATATTTTTATGGTCAAAAAAAAAAAAAAAAAAGAAAAAGAAAGGAGGGATCTGAGGAGTAGAAACCAGGGAGGCAGCAAGGACACGTGCAGGGGAGAGAAGAGGTAGATCTGAACTACAGCGGTCACAGTGGGGACAGAATGAACAGGCTGGAAGTGAAAACTACCCAAGAGGGAGAAGAACTATGGGGAGTTGACTACAGCTGGGCTGAGGGGAGACTGAGGGAGAAGGTGGGAGTGATGGTGAATCCCACTTCCTTGCAGGGTTGTCAGGTCTTGGGGTGTCCACCTTTCCTCCCATCGCTGCTTATGCCACTGACAGTTGGATTCAGGTGTAGAACTTGGCATTCATCTCTGCTCAACTGAACTCTAAGCCTTTCATGACTGTTCTGACTATTGAAAGCCTCCTGGGTCCTGACTCGGTCATCCAACGGAGGTCTGTCCTGTTGGCTACAGCTGCGGATAAGCTTGATCCAAACCGTGGCAAGAATGTGAGAACAGAGCCCGGGCACTGGCCAGAACTGTGGGCTCTGTGCTGGGAGTGACCCTGAGTATGTCTGGATGGCAATCAACACCGTGAGGGGCCAGAAGAAGAGTCCCATAAGAAAGTAGGAGGAGGTGGCGAGCACTTAACTTGGAGATGACCACAAAAGGCATCATCACTGCCAGGTGGAAGAGGACCCAACCCTCAATATGCCTGGTTCCATGGGGGATCCACAAGGACCACTTGGACAGCACTCGTAGCTTGGGGAGTTTCAGTTTACTGCAAGGCAGCACTTTTGAACAGTCAGCAATGCCCAGGGGTGGGCTGGCCCATGCTGGAATGCAGTAAGCAACTGCAAGAGTTTGTTAGGGCTGCTATAAGAAAATACTACAGAGGCCAGGCGTTTAAACAATAGGAATTTATTTTCCCACAGTTTTCGAGGATAGAAGTCCAAGAACTTACAAAGATGCGATGAAAAATTCTGCTCTTATTTAACCCTTCCCCAAGGAAACGTGCAGGCAGGCAGTGACAGACATCAGCCCGCAGAGCACAAAAGTGGTTCTTACCTGTGAAACAGGACAGATTTGACCAGGGTGACGACGTCGCGGCTGGCATTGTACCCGGCACACACGATAGCCACGTGGATCGTCTGGGGAGAGAGGAAAGCGGAGTGAGCAGTCAGATGGATGGAAGGAGGCCTTCCTGGTGTTTCAGATCACACAAAAAAGAAAAATCGCACTGATTTCTTGTTGGGATCATTAGAAAACAAAGGGCACCGTCTGCAGCTGTGCAAAATAACTGAAGACAGTTTTATTAAGGCCTTTTTAATCGGTTTATGGAGCTATCATCATTTGGAAACCATTAAGGCTCTTTTCAATTACATTTTGGGGACGAGAGAGATGGTGACTGGCTCAAATAGGCAAACAGTGAGTCCCCTGCCCCCAAGCTGGGAGACAATGACAACTGGTGAAAGAGAGAAGAAAGAAATATGCCCTGAGAGGAAGAACTGACAACCCGGGATCTCAGACTGAGAAGTGATGGCTCGGAGAGTTTGAGAATTGCTCCCATGAGACGTGTTGGGTTAGGGCCAACCCTGAAAAAAGGGCTGAAGGGACCAAGGAACGACTGCGCACCCCATCTGGGACAGCACGCCGAGAACCGAAGACAGCAGAGTAGAACGGAACCTCATCGGCCGCCTCGTCTAAGCAGTCAGGGGCATGGGCCTCAGACACGAATCCTTCGGCCAGGGTGACCCTGGCAGAGTTGCAGGGTCAGCTGACTCACTGCAACATAAGCACTGTGACAAGTGTCTTGCAAGGTGGTGGTAGGGTGGAACGATGCCAAGAGCGGAATACACTGCCCGGCGTCCTGCACTCCAATCCCAGCAGAAACCATCTTCCAGGGCTGAGCTTCTTAAGCAGGCCACCTTGGTGCCTTGGTGTGCTGTGCCTGAATCTCAGGTGACAAAGGGACTCATCTCCTCCCTCTCTCAAAGCTAGCGGGCAGGGCAGCACTGGCATCTTCAGGCGTGGCCAGCCCCCGCTGCCAGTACCTTTTCTCTCTTCCTCTTGCCACACACTTACCACGCTCTATGTGTGGCACGACTAGACAGTGATTGAAAGTGCCGCTATAAGGCATCCCAGGCGTCCCGGCCTGGGAGTCACCCAGCCTCTAAAAGAAGGGAGGGTCACACTTCTAGATTTTGTCCCTCCTCCTGAAGCGCAGCCTTCCTTGAAGGGGAACTGCCTCCCAACACGCATTCCAGGGCGAGCGCTGTCCTGAAGGGTATGACAGAACAGAGAGGTTCCCTCCAGCACCCAATAGTTCGACTGAAGGGAGGGCACTTGGGAATGCTGCTGCTTTTCCAGAACCATCCACAGCCATCGCTTCCATGGCACAGCTTCCAAAACCCCCATTATCCTGATCATCCCTCAGCCTCACATCCGTGACTTCTTTAATTCAAATGACCTTCACCCCACCTTGCCCATCTACTCCTAGAAGCTGCACCTCCAACGTCATCCAGAAAGAACCTCGTCTTTCTCAGACAGCCTGTAACGATGGGCTCTCCACACCTGCAGGGGCTCACAGCGTTCCACCCGCTCCTCTTCCTGCATGGAAGCCCCTTCTCCTCTATCAATCCTCCCCACCCCCGCAGCCACCACCGCTGTTCCCTGAACCATCACCTCCCGCTACCCTCGGCTCTCTCACACGACCTGCCCCGCACGCAACATGCAGATCCCCAGCCCTGGGTGGGCTCTGCAGCCTCCCCTCTGCTCTTGTACCTGGTACAAGAAAGAGGAGGGGAGATGCAAGAGAGGAAAAAGCAGCACAACAAGAGCTAATGGGCACTGAGCAAATGACTCCGTTCCAGGCCCTGTGCTTCATGTTTTGCACAGATTATGAGACTTGGGTCTCACAGTTGTATGAGGCAGGTGTGGCATTATCATTTCAGTATCGTAGATCGGGAAACTCAGGTTTACAGAGCTGGAATTCAAACTTGGGGACAGAGATTCTTAACCCCCGGGGGTGGGGGGGTGTTCAGAAATACTCAAAAGATTTTAAAAATATACTCTATGCCCCAGCTCCACCTTAGACCGATTAATTCACAATCTCTGGTGCTCAAGATCTTCCAACACTCTGCAGGAAGGCAGTGGTTGCCAAGAGGGGACAACTCACCTCCCTCCCCTACAACCCTCAGGACGTGTGTCTGTGTCTGGAGACATCCCTGATGGTCACGGTCACCACTGGTGGGGACTGGTGGGGATGCTACTGGCATCCAGGGGGTAGAGGCCAGGGATGCTGGCAAGCACGCTACCGGGCACGGGAAGGCCCCACCACAAAGAACAAGTATACCATTGTTAGGCATCCCTGTGTTAGAAGGAAGAAAAAGGGTGAGGGAGGGAAGAGGGGAGAGCTCAGATCCCTCTGGGTTTATGCATATCTTAATTTCTCCACCTGTACAAGGAAGGCACCGCTGCTTATCTCTGACAATATCTGCAAAACACTCAGGATGAAAGATCGTATAATGCAGATTCAACCGTCACCATTTAAATCGTGACGGAAATGAATAGGAAAATGCCTGCACATGGGAAACCTAACCGGGAAGGGGGTGCGGATGGGGAAGAACACGCTGAATCAGGCTCTTCTGAATCACAAATATTTAAACATACAGCCTCCGAGATATCAAACTTTGTCTTGGCTTCAGGGTTCAGGGACTTTTTTACATGGGCCCATTAAATGTAAGCACAAGCGCGCACATTCTCAAACATTTTACATAATTTCCCAATCTCTTTAGTTTCATCGGATACACCTGCCACCATGAATAAATTCATCATCTGGAGCCACAGCGGCAGGGCCCAGCTACCCAGGGAAGCAGAAAATCAGAGTGTCATTGAATATGCTCTTGGAAGAGTTTTGGGTGGCCCAAAATTTTGTGGGTATAGAAGTGAACCACAGGAGTCGGGCTGGGGTTGGGGGTGTGGAAAGAGAGGGAACAGGGATAAGTGTACCTTGAAAGAGCAGGGTTACAAAAACGGTCTTGTCATGACGACTCTGGGTATTGAAGCTATGAAGTCCAGGTTTTTAAGTTTCTCGGTGTGGCAGATTAAAGATGGGCAAAACTACTCGGAGGACATTCCTCCCATCAAAGGTCAGGGTAAGAATTTCAGATTCTGGGACCACTGGTCCCATCACTGAGCTTTCCTCTCCATTCTTGAAATTATGGTCATGCATCGATGGGATTCCGTTCTGAGAACTGCATCACTGGGTGATTTCATGGTTGTGTGAGTATCAGAGTGTATTTACACACTCTGATGGTGTAGCCCACTATACACCTAGGCTATATGGTGTGGCCTATTGCTCCTGGGCACAACTCTGTACAGCGTGTTACTGTACTGAATACTGTAGGCAACTGTGACTCAGTGCTAATTATCTATGCATCTGAACATAGAAAAGGCACAGCAGGCCGGGCGACTCTGGGAGGCCGAGGCGGGAGGATTGCTCGAGGTCAGGAGTTCAAAACCAGCCTGAGAAAGAGCAAGACCCCGTCTCTACTATAAATAGAAAGAAATTAACTGGCCAACTAATATATATAGGAAAAATTAGCCGGGCATGGTGGTGCATGCCTGTAGTCTGAGCTACTCAGGAGGCTGAGGCAGGAGGATTGCTTGAGCCCAGGAGTTTGAGGTTGCTGTGAGCTAGGCTGACGCCACGGCACTCACTCTAGCCTGGGCAACAAAGTGAGACTCTGTTTCTAAAAAAAAAAAAAGGAAAGAAAAAAGAAAAGAAAAGGCACAGCAAATATAATGTAAGAGATAAAAAAATAATGGTACACCTCTAAAGGGCACTTATCATGCATGGAGCTTGCAGGACTGGAAGTTACTCAAAATTTTCAGGAGATTTACAAAACTCTTAAGAGTCATGGACCACAAAAACTCCTAAAGAAACGCTTAATGCTTCCACTCACTTCCTTTAGTTCTTGGCATGGTGCCCAGTACACCATGAATCTCTGCAAGCTGCACCTGAACATGCAGGTAAGACAGGTAAGGCAGTGCTAGAGCTGTGAAGTGGGTCAAGTGGTGACCTTTATTTTAGAACCTGCAGGAAGGATTCATGACGTCAAGGTTTGTGGAGTTGCTGTTGTGCCAGGTACTGTGCTGGGCTCGGAGGAAACACAGGCAAATCACACAGTCCCGTCCCACAGGGTCAAGTGCAGAGGCAGAACGACAGCCAGCCAGGTGATCCCACCAGAGGCTGAGAAGACGCCCACGACAGCAAGCTCGGCACCCCTGCATCCCAGAGTAGCCAATGTCACCCCCACCGAGAGTTTGCAGGGAGAACGTCGTAGAGGAGAAGGTACTTCAGTGACTAGACCAGAGCAGCCTGTCACCCGGGACATTCAGGGACAGCTGGGACTGATGACTTGGAACTTGTCAGCCTCCACGAAAACCTGAAAAAGAAAGTTCTCCGTGCTCTGTCCCCCTACAGGAAAAAATCTTCCAAGGGCGTTTTCTCAAATGGGGATGCGGGGAAAACACAATCGCCCCCAAAGAAATCCAGACCAAACTACGGGATGGCAGGCAGAGCTGTGGCCCTGGCAGGCCGCCTCTCCTACCCGCACTGCTCCCTTCGGGGCATCCTGCCCGGGGTGCAATTCAGCTAACGCGTCTCCTCTCGGGGACACCGAGGGAATGAGAGGGGAAGCCACTGAAGTGGACATCATGTGTGCTAGGGAAAGCCAGCTCAGCCCACACTCTGAACTGCAGCTGCGGTCTCGGGGGTGGGGTGGACAAGGCCTCCCGGAGGACAGAGCTGCAAGGTGGCTGGGGAATAGCACACACCTGGGCACAGAGAGGCAGCATGAGGGTCAGAAGCAGGGGCGGGTGGCACGGAAAGCCCTCGACAAGACTGGACAGACCTGGTTTGAGCTGCAACCGCAGAGCTAAGCGGCTGCATGACCCTGGAGGAGTCCCCTAATGTCCCCGGGCTTCAGTGGCCTCCTCTGTGAGATGGAGATGAAAACAGCCGCCCCACCGGGCTGTGTGAGGATTAAACAAGCCAAGTGCGAGAAAGTGCACCTCATACCTCGGTGCTTGCTAATGTTCAACGAGTGAGTCAACAGCACAGTGAGACCTTGCTCGACATCCTCCT